TTTTTTTTTCAGAATAGAAACAACTATATCTATATCAATGATATCGCTGATTAATTAAAAATTTAAAGCATGTTTATTGAGTTATTGCCCTTGACAAATGTTTCTTACAAATGAGCTGTGATTGGGACAGGGACCACAGTTAATTATTTATTAATTACATTTTGTATGTAATTACATAATGTATTTTTACCATCATAGTTAGTAGAAGATTATATACGAGAAACTCCAAAATATACTCACATGGAAAAAGATTGGGTAGAAATTAAACAGTAAGTAACGGTATTTTTATATTTTATACTATTATTTCTAACCACAATAATTGTTGATATAGATATGAGGTAATATTCTGGACATTACATGAAACAAGGAAGTTTTCAGAATGAATATGCACACAGACATTATCTTAAGTTTAGTTATATTATTATCTCTTATTTATTTTATTATTTGAACCCACCTAAGGTCACGCCAAAAAACTCTTTCCCCTTTATTTTATAGATCAGTTGGTGAAGAAGCAATGTTATTATTAATAAACAGTCATAGTTTAGCAGGAAATATTATTCCTCTTCGAACACAGGTTCGTCTTTTATAAATATTATTATTCTGGTACTTTACTATCTTACTTTCACTAGTAATTGTTGTTCCATAAAGCTGTGTCTATATATCGTACCTGCATTTGCTAGATACCATCAGTTGATTTGGTTGTATCCAGTCTGCAAAAATTTTCCAACTATTCAACTGTTTTCTAGCAGAGTCTTGTCATGTTCATAGGTGATAGAAGGCTGGACAAGACTGTTTTATAAAACTTAAATGGATAACTGAACATAGAGTTGATTGAAAGTCAAAATTTTCTGGGTTTTTTTTAACAAGACTTTTGGAAATATGGAGAGCAGTTTGTAAACTTTGGCTTTTATATTATGATTGAGATAGGTATATGTTAGTCAAATGTTCTTCGTGATGATTTTTTTAAGCAATATTATTTATTTTATATTGTTATTTTTCAGAGTTTGTTATCAATTGGTAAATGTTTACATCTGTTAGGACAGTCACTTCACCCTAATCCTCCATCACAGTGGCTTAATAAACATATGGTACGTTAATATCTTTCATATTTACTGCCAGTGCCTCTCTTATCATTAGAATATAATATGATACTTATACTTGTTATTGTTACAATAATGATCTTGTT